ACTGCCCCCTAGGGTTTCCAATAAGCTGCTGGTAGTTTCCAACTGTCCACTGTTTGGTTAGCAGCTGTAGCTCACCGTAGCTCCAGTTAAACTGTAGTGAGAGGCTATTAAAATGTCCAACTATAGTGTAGATGGATAACCACAGTCAGGAAACTTGGATTTGAGATTTGGGTGACCCAGAGTCCCTATGCCCAGCCGTGAGACCTTGGCAGATCACACACTTAGCCTCAGCCTCTTTCACGATAATATCAAGTTATTATAGCCGAATTTCACATATTTTTTATAAACATTAGATGAAGACACACTCAGACATGAAAGTGATTTGTCAACCATAAGAACCTATAGGAACAAATTGAATTATTAAGTGTGGCTGAAAGGGAGAAAGGACGTGCCAGTAATCCTTGCTATGCTGATATGCTTACAAATTACGCAGTAGTGTTGCTGTAAGCAGAAGCAAGAGAGGAGCCGAAGAGCGTGGGCTTTACTGTTTTAAAATTAATTTAGTTTTGTATTCTGGCTCTGAGTCATTAAACACTCTCTATTCCTTAACTAAAAAAAGAGTATAAATTTTAGTACCTCTATCACAGAATATTCGTGAGACTTAGCAACGCAGGCAGTCCCCGAGTTACAAATGAGATCCGTTCCTAACTGTGTCTTTCAGTTGTTAAGTTGAATTTGTAGGTAAGTCAAAACAGGTGCATATGGTTCTCATTTAGCCTGACTTTAGTGCAAAAAAAGGCTCGAAAGCCTTTTCAGTGATTTAAAAGCTGCATGTGCAGCAAGTAAAGGTGATTGTGATGAAGAATTTGTTGTGAGTAGGGGTTGGTTTAATCATTTCAAAGTGAAGGCAAATTTACACAACATTAAAGGGCAAGTATGAGGTGTTCGGAAACCCTGGTGGCCTAATGGTTAAGTGCTACAGCTGCCTAAGCATAAAGGTCGGCAGTTCGAATCCACCAGCTGCTCCTTGGAAACCCTGTGGAGCAATTCTACCCTGTCGTATAGGGTTGTTACGAGTTGGAATTGACTTGATGGCTACGGGTTTGGTTTTGGTTTTTTGAGGTGTTTGTAACTCGGACATTTGCAATCCGAGGACTGCCTGTATATATAAAGCCTTTAACACACACAAGGAGCCCTGGTAGCTCAGTGGTTATGCACTTGGCTGCTAACCAAAAGGTTGGAGGCTCAAACCCACTGGCCGCTCTACGGCAGAAAGATGTGGCAGTCAGCTTCTGTAAAGATTTACAGCCTTGGAAAGCCTACGGGGCAGTTCTACTCTGTCTTATAGGGTCGCTATGAGTTAGAATCAACTTGACGGCAATGGGGTTTTTGGGTTGTTTTTGACACACACATGCTCTAAACATAAAAGCAATTATTGACATGATTGTTATATAGGCAAAGCTGAATTAGAAGTAGTCCCAACATGCCTTTCAAATTTCTAATCTGGCAGATTAAGTAAAAAGTAGGAAATAGGTGGAGAACTCTAAGACACAGCAGTTGTAGAAATTCCTCTCATAAGAAGTCTTAAAATAAGCAAAAAATGCCTACACGAGTTCTCTTTGAAATTGGTAGCAAGAAAACGACCCTGGGCAACCATCTTGGGAACAGAGAGTATAACATGGCAACAGAATCAATTCTCTGGTTCATCCTCGCTGAGGGTTTGAACGTCCAGACCTTGGTTGGAAACTGACTAAAGAAGACAAAACCATGAGTTTGACACCAGGGAGCTTGGGAGCAAGACAAACTGTGGATGCCAAAACCCCACAAATAGGCTATCTTTCCAAACCAAGCGTCCAAGTTTGGACATCAAGTACGAAACTTTACCTTCAAGAACCATGTCAGCTCCACAGGGATAAAGACCGTGTTCATATCACACATGACTCTAAAGTTACTTCTAACTCCGAGTCCCTGATTACCTTGGTAACTCACTTACTTGTTACTAACTATAAATCACTGGAATGCTTAGCCACTGGTTATGGGACCTTCCCAATGTTGGGCTGCGTGGGGCAGCCACAGCTCTGTGGTTAAACGTCCCAGCTGTAGAGCCAGACAGCCTGGGTTTGAATTAATTTGGCTTCTCTACTTACTTAGCTACATGACCTGAGGCGAGTGCAACAAGTCATTTTTGCTGCATTAATTCAGTGTTAATGAGTCAAAATATTGGGCGCCCTGCCTAAAATTGCGGTAACCATGAAATATCGTCCGAGTGGCTAGAGGTGCTTCGCGAACAGCTCTGCCTCTGGACCGTGAGGGTAGACATGAGGGAGGGGAACGCAATCTAAGCAGAAATACTGGTATTTAAACCTGGAGGGGTTTCTCTAATTGCGCCAAAGAGAACCTTCAAACTGCAGGTATCGTAACTCATCATCGGTAACAGTCCTAACGCTGAACTTTGGGGAGCCATAGCATCGAAGGTACCTCGTGGTGCTTATGAAGGTTCCAAAACAAACCCTTAAACCGAAAGCCCACCTGTCGCCAGGTAGAGGAGGCCAACAAGGAAATGAACCTGCCGCCACCGAAACTGCTTTGCCCACCTAGTCCAGGCGTCCCTGCGGAGACCCCTGGGAATTAGGAAACGAGGCTGAAGAATAGGCGCCCGCGCGTGCCCACGCTAAAATAAAAGGGCGCTCAGTGGTCGTTTATTATCCGTGTACAGTGGGCCGAGTCCCCCAGACACAGAAGTCAACGTCACCCGGCCACCGCCCCGCCTTCCATGCCTGGGCTCTGCCGCGGTGCTGCCCGGCCACCCAGCCTGGAGGGCGCTGGGACGCGGCGGGCGGCACGAGCCCATTGGTCAGCAGGGCGCAGAGGTGAGCGGCTCGGCCAATCCTGTCCTGGGAAGAGGACGGGCCGGGAGGCCGGGCGGCTCGGGCGGCGTGGGAATGAAGCGAGTCCCGCTGCAGAGCCCGTCCCGGCGAGCAGGGTGCGAGGGCTGAGCGCTCGTGCAGGCGGAGAGGCGCGCGGGAGAGGAGAGTGCGGGCCGCACCAAAGCAAATACGGTAGTCCCTCCTTCGGTGACTCGTGCCAGGCAAAAGACACAGTAAGCCGACAGGAACTCAGTAAGCGGAGACCCTTATTGTGGACACCCTACTGCAGAGACTTGTCCCAAAAAAGACAATTTAAGGAGAAACTTTTTGGATGGGGGACAAAATAGAGTGATAGTTATATTTAAGCGACAACCTTAAGGACAGCTAAAGCACACTGTTGAGGGAGAACAGAAATTAGAAAGCCTCCACGTTGTCTTTCGTTTCTTTAACGACAACGTCAGTAATAAAGAACACTTCTTGATTACTTGGGCACGGGTTGGTCCTCTGAAGTTTTACAGGAGCCTCGACGTCTCTTTGAAGATTATTCCTCCTGAGCTTCAAGCCGAAAAGACTCAGCCACTTGCTCACTTGCGGAGCAGAGGACTTCTCCTCACTTAGGTTTGGCTACAATTTTCCATTTTCTGGGAAGATTTTCTGCCTCTGCTTACTTCAGAAGAGGATTCAGGAGCAGGAGGGAAGAGCTCAGGTATTGTCAATTCCTGTCTATTTTACAATATGCATTTTCCAGGTTTAAGGATTGTGTGACTCCACTATTGAAATGTTCTTTTATCCTTTTGATGCTCTTTAAATAACTCTCATGTGGGCTCACCCAGGACGTCTATTTTCTAGCTGAACAAAAATATTACTTTCATCCTGCTATTCCCTTCTGTGCTTATCTAGTAAGTGGAAATGCTGTTTCCAATTACAGAAAGCTTACTTAAAATTTCATTGTAGCCAAGTGGTTACAATGACATAGTGGCTGAGTGACTAATCCTGTGTTGAAATTTTAATTTGGGCTAAGTTTTCTAAGTAATAATTCTATTAGCTTTATATGAAGATGTGTGCAGCGTGGTATCTGTGTTATTTCTAGGGTAGCTTATAGCTAAACGGTGATCGCTGGTAGAATCCAAAAGAAATAATTCTATTCCAGGGGGCGTTGAGGTGGATAAATTACGGTCATTTTTTTCTGAAAAAAGTATCATAAAATTTTATTGCAACTGCGTGTTCTGAATTTCAGGAAAGGATTTTGTTTGGATCCCTGGGCTGCTCCCACATGTGGATAATAGATAGCATTTTTCTGACTAGCTGAGCGTGTTTCTTCCGTGGTCCTGCTTCCCTGTCCTGGGCGGAAGCTTGAGGAGAAAGAGACGGAGCAAAAGCAGACACATCATGCTTGCAAGGAGCAGTGTGGCCTCTTCGGGCAGGTCCAAGGCTCAAGCCCTCTCAGCCAGTCCGTTATTGCTGCTTGTGGTCATGATTTGGCAGTGAAGTGTCCAATGTGTCTTTTTTGGCAAAGATTCAAGGACACATTAGAAATAGATTTATTCACCCTTATATCAAATGTTTTTTAAGAATGCTTAATAAAATGGAAAACATATTACATGTTAAATGATAAAAAGGTGTTTCAGAATTATTATCATATATACATCATATAAACACAAAAAAAAAGGCTGGAAGGAATACAGCAAAATGTCAATGGTTATATCTGAGTGGTGGGATCATGAATAATTTTTATTTTCTTTTTTTCTACTTATTTGCAGTTTCCGGATTTTCTACAGTGCGCATGTATTGCTTTTATAATCAGTTTTTTAAAAGTTGGTCTGAAAGAACTAATGTAAGAACAAGAAACTAACCCTTATGTGTTTCAGTTGTCACAGTATCTTCATTACGGTCTCCAGCCTCCCTTTCTAATGAATCCCTAAGTAATAGGGATTGCTGCTTTTCATTAGGAGGTGAGAAGCTGCGAAGACATCTTCACAACAGTAAATATTCCACTGATCGCCAAACTCAGTGTGAGGCTAGCACACACTACGGTGGTGTTAAGAGTAAGCTTTACCACAGAAGTTGTGAATGAAACTGGTCACTTATAATCCATAAGTTCAGTTTCCCAGATTCCCAGGGGGCTGTGTGTGATGGTGCTGGGACCTATGTTCGATCAATGTTTGTAACTTCAAGATGTGATGCTGTTTCAGGATGAAGCTGAAAGGAAGAAGAATCACCTGCTGGCTGGTCTCCTTCACTGCCATCTGCCTGGTGGCCGCCCCTGGTGGCAGAGCCTGTCCTCGCCGCTGTGCCTGCTACTTTCCTACAGAGGTGCACTGCACGTTTCGGTACCTGACCTCCATCCCAGACGGCATCCCGCCCCATGTGGAACGCATCAATTTAGGGTGCGTGGGGCCATGTCTTTTCTTTTCTCAAAGAGAGACTGATCACACTGGTGACTTGTCCCCAAAACACTTGTAGCTCTGGGCGATTAACCACCGTTGTTTTAACAGTATTTCTCTTCTGAAATGAGAATCTTAAGTGTGTAGGAGCGGTCAGAACATCTTTTCCTGGTAAATTTTTAGCAGGAGGAAGTTCTTCTAGAACCTGAAGGCACTCTTAGTAAATTGGTATGCCCACGACTGTAGAAAGACTTCATTCTGGTTACATTTTTGCAGGAAAATAATACAGCCCCTGTTAACAACCAGAGTTAAGATAGATCCGTGAGAGATGACAGGGCAACTGGAAGTGTCCTCTGGTGTATAAAAGGCACACGTGAAGCGTCTGCTCACTCCTTTCTAAAGGCCCTTCGGCTTCTTTCAGTACAAACTTATTTAAAATGCTTTTTAAAATGCATCCCTAATTTAGACATTAATCTCTTGTCCTCTAAATTATCTGTCAAAAGGTGGCTATGTTTTAAAGGCTCATAAAAAATATGTATGTGTGTGAACACATGTAGTCAGACTTGACATCATTTATTTGACAATTATTGAGCACCTACTATTGCTAAGCCTCATGGCTGGTGCTGAAGATACAACCAAACAAGAAACATTCTTCACTTCTCAAAGCTGTAGTTGAAGGGAAGACAAAAATATACAATCAATGCAATTTAATAAAAACTGTAATAGAGCACACAAAGTGCCTTGGGAACAATCACTAATAATAATATCAAAAACCCAAACCAAACCCTTTGCCATCGAGGGGATTCAGACTCATAGCAACCCTGTAGGACAGAGTAGAACTGCCCCATTGAGTTTCCAAGGAGTGGCTGGTAGATCTGAACTGCCAACCTTTTGGTTAGCAGCCGAGCTCTTAACCACTGCACCACCAACATTGGCATTGGGCTAAGCACTGTACATGTCTTCATTCATTTCGTCCTCCTGACCCCTTTGGAGCAGGTTCTATTATTATCTGCATTTCATACATCAGGAAACTGGGCACAGAAGGTTACTGATCTTACCAAGGGCTGCACAATTACTAAGTGGCTGAGCGTGTAATCCTATCCAAGCTACTTGGCTTCAGAGTCTAAGTTTCTTAACCAGTGCTTTATAATGATGAATTCCACCTCGGAGAAGGAGGGGGAAGAAAACACAAAAGGATGCGCTTGGTCTTAATAGTGTTCACAAAGAGAGAGAGATGAGGTCATAGGCATTCCAACCTGAAGAAACAATATACACATAAAATGAAGGGAAGAAAAAAATATGAAATGAAAATGAGAAGGAATGTGGCATGCTCCAGGAATGTGAATGGGGTGATTGTAGCTGAGGCCGCAAGGACTGGGTAGTAGGTCGACCTTCTGTGGCATCTGATGAATTTCAATCGTATTTCACGCATAGAGAGATGGATTATCTCCTTAGAGCACAGGTAAAACGAGACGTGGTTGTGTGTGTGTGTGTGTCTGTGTGCTTGGACATTTGAACTTTAGTTGACAGGCTAACCTTATGCCTAGAATGACATTTTTATTTCAGGTACAACAGCTTGGGCAGATTGACAGAAACAGATTTTTCTGGCCTGAACAAGTTGGAGTTACTAATGCTGCATAGCAATGGCATTCACACAATTCCTGATAAGACCTTCTCGGATCTGCAGGCCTTGCAGGTGAGACCTGGGTGGCGGCAGGGTTTAAAGAGGTGAGGTGGGACCTATAGGATGTACCTCCAAAAGCTGCCCATTCCCATGGAATCTAAAGGTAAACTACCAGAAAATTAGAGGTAGACATTAAGGGAAGACTTCAAAGAACTGATTTTTTTTTTTTAATGCAATAGTATGTGGAAATTAGAATAATAGGAAAATCCTGAGGGACATGTTTTTCATAGCTATTGCTAATAGAAAAAAATTCAATTCCCAGCGATTACTAAACCTCTAAAATGTAATATTTGAAAGCAACTAATAGTCATATTCACCTGGGAATCAATGGTGGTTTCTAAAATAAATTAATTTCTTAGACCAAAGTTAGCTTTCAATAAATCAATATGCTTTACACTTGAAAAAAATTTTCCATTTATTTACTTATCTGTTTCCTGTCTTGTTCAAAATTAATAATAAAAAAGGTTACAGAGACTTACTAGAATGCATCAAATTTTGCAAGAATTCTCACACAAGTAGGAGAGAAAGTAAAAGGTAAAAGAAGTGTAGCAATAGGAATAAAAGAAATACAAAAATATATACATTGAGACCTTTATGTCTCCTATGGGTAGGACTTGAAGCTTCCTAAACACTAACTCTAAGGGGGAAATAGGGCCAGTTACACAATTCATCCACCACTTGTCTCTCAGTTTGTTGTACTGTGTGATGCTGGAAGCTATGCCACTAGTATTCCAAATACCAGTAGGGTCACCCATGGTCACTGTCATCACTGGGAGGGTGTGGGGGTATGGACCACACCCCCGACACTGTCAGAGTGGGTGACACCAAAATGACCTCAGGGTCCACGGCAGCAGCGGCAGGCCAGTGCCACAGGGGGAGGGGCCGCCAGTCACCCCCCCCCCGCCCCCAGTCACCCACCACTGGGCGGAGAGGAGGGTCTCCACTTTGGCTAATGGGAGAGGGGAGGAGTTGTGAGGAGTCATGGGGGGAATGGGGTTGGGAGGGGCAGGGCCATGTGGCACAGTGCTCAGCCCTGCATGGAGGCAGGCAGGGCCGGGCTGCTCCACTTATGGGGGGGAGATTCATCAGCTGGCCCCCCACCCCGGGCCAGTGGAGGGAGTGACACCATGAGTTACCACACTGGGTGACACCAACCCTAGAGTTGCCACTGCCCATGGTAGATAGGTTTCAGTGGAACTTCCAGACTAAGACAGACTAGGAAGAGGACCTGGTGATCTACTTCTGAAAAAACTGGCCAGTGAAAACCTTATGAATAGCAGTGGAACATTGTGTGATATAGTGCCAAACGATTGGAAAGCACTCCAAATATGACTGGGGAAGTGCTACCACCTCAAAGTAAACTCGACCTTAATGATGTGGATGGAGTAAAGCTTTCAAGACCTTCATTTGCTTATGTAGCACAACTCAAAATGACAAGAAACAGCTGCAAACATCCATTAGTAATCAGAATGTGGAATGTATAAAGTATGAATCAAGAAAAATCAAGAAAAATGAAATGGAACAGTTGAAGTGCTACATCCTAGGCATTCGTGGGCTGAAATGGATTGATATTGGCCATTTTGAATCAGCAGTCACATGGTTTACTATGCCAGGAATGACAAATTGAAGAGGAATGGCGTCACATTCATCATCAAAAAGAACACTTCAAGATTTACCCTAAAGTACAACGCTATCAGTGATAGGATAATATCCATACACCTAAAAGGAAGATCAGTTAATACGACTATTATTCAAATTTATGCACCACCCACTAATGCCAAAGATGAAGACATTGAAGTTTTTACCAGCGTCTGTAGTCTGAAATTGACGAAACATGCATTCAGGATACATTGATAATTACTGGTGATTGGGATGCAAAAACTGGAAACAAAGTAGAGGATTGGTAGTTGGAAAATATGGTGTTGGTGATAGAAACAACGCTGGAGATCACGTTAAAATTTTTCAAGACCAACAACATATTCATTGGAAATACCTTTTTTCAACAACATAAACGAAGGCTATACATGTGGACCTTTCCAGATGGAATACACAGGAAACAAATCAACTACATCCGTAGAAAGAGATGATGGAGAAGCTCACTATTATCAGTCAGAACAAGGCCAGGGGCTGGCTGAAGAACAGAGCATCAATTGCTCATATGCAAGTTCAAGTTGAAGCTGAAGAAAATTAAAAACAAGTCCATGAGAGCCAAATTACAACCTTGAATATTTCCCACCTGAATTTAGAGACCAGTTCAAGAATAGATCTGACACACTGAGCACAGGATGACCGAAGACCAGATGAATTGTGAGATGACATCAAGGACATCAATATGAAGAAAGCAGAAGGTAATTAAAAAGACAGGAAAGAGAGATCTGCCTAAGGTGGCAACTTAGTCATACCCACTATAGTGTTCCCCTACAACAAAGACTCCAGAAACCAAGTGAAATAGATATAGATGACAACCTTGGAACTCTGAACATCAAACAAAAGGATGAAGAAGTAGACCAAACATCAAGTGGAAGGAGAGACTGAATGAAAACAGCAGATAAGGATGTTTATGAATCATAGGCACCCTGCCAGCAACCCAGCACAGTGTGGCCATCTTGAGACAAAGCCAAGCAGTGTTCCAAGGTGAGGAGCATAGGAAGGCAACTTCACGGAATTCCCAATAGGAGACAGAGATACTGTGTAGACAAACCCGGAGTGAAGCAAGGTGAGCAGGACATGACATGATGTAAGGAGGGAAACTGCAAGAAGGCAGGTGAGAGCTCCAGGGATCCTGGTGACCACAGAGCAGAGAGGGAGCCAGGAACTAGGGACAGGACTAATAACCAGCGGGCGTGCCTGACCATTTGGAGAGGAAATGCCCACAGAATAGTGGAACCACATAGTAATATCTGGAAGTCCTCCACCCAGCCAGACTCCAGGTAGCCACCCTCCTCAGATTTAATTAGGCCAAGCCTGGGTCACCACCTACAGCCTATAGGGAGTGACCCAGCACTCACACCCAATGACTGGAGAAGTGCACTCCCCTTCCCCTCATGTGCCCGGTGACCAGCTCCCACGCTGCACGATCGCATTGTGCACTCCTGTGCCCCGCTCGCCTGGCGACCAGCACTATGCACTCCATGCCACGCGACTGGCAGCGTAAGATCCTGAGCCACCCTACCCTGCCTGCCCTACGACCGGTGGCATGTGCTCCCCCACCCCACCTGCCTGGTGACTGGCAGCACATGCTCCAATGCCACCTGCCTGGCAACTGGTGGTGCATTCTCTCCCACCCCACCTGCCCAGTGACTGCCGGCGAGCACTCACCATGCCCACAACCTGGCGACTGGCAGGAGTGCTCCCCATGCCCCCGCCCGTAATGTGACAGGCAGGCACATCACCTTACCAGCAACTGCCTGGAACATCCTGACAAACAGGAGACTCTAGTGTCCTCATCCAATGACTGCCTGGCTGCAACATCACATACCACACCCAAACATGCTCTGAGACCCTTTGATCCCCCACCACCTACTGAGATGCCAATTCGTGCATGCACAGAGATCCTATCCCAACCATTTGGGTAGTACTACTTCCCAGTGGCTATGGAGACATCCTGCCCAGCTTTCCAGAGGATGCACTGTTAGCACCAACCTGGAAGGACCACATGGTCCCATGAGTGTTGTGGAAGAACCTTGACCACCCAACACTTACCATCCCACATCAGGGAAAGGACTTGCTCTCACACCTCCACTCAATCCTTTAAGGGAAGACATACAAACCTAATGACAGAGGATTCACACATGGGGATGATCCACCATACTCACTATTGAGAGGAAATCACACCCAGCTAACTAACACCACCAAAGTCATACATGGACAGTACCACAAAAGCAACAACAAATAAAATAATACAAAGGAAGGAAGACATTCTAAAGAGAAAGAGAAGAAACAAAGCTCCTGATATATCAAAACAAAATTAGGACAAAAGCAAACATACAGTAATGAAAAAAAATACATAAATAAAATAACACCTTAATGCCTCAGAGATAGCAGACAATAACAAATCATATGACGAAAAGGATAAGAGGAAGAACTGATAATAGAACTACCTGATAAGGAATTCAAAAGACTTATCTTTAGGCTCCTCAAAGAGATCAAGGAAAACACAGAAAAAAACCTAGAAGAATTCTGGAAAACAATACGAGAAACTGAGTAGACAAGGAGAAACGATACAAAAACAGCTAGAAATTCAGAAGTGTAACAATAAAATATCAGACATAGATAACTCAATGGAAGGACACGGAAGTAGAACTGAATCAATGGAAGAAAGAATTAACAAAATCGAGGACAAAACCCTTGATACTAATTTGCTTGAGGAACCATCAGAAAAAAGACCGAAGAAAATGAATAAAGCCTAAGAGTTATGTGGGACACCATCAAGAGGAACAATTTATGCATAATAGGAATTCCAGAAGAGGAGGAAGAAAAAGTACAGAGAGAATTTTTGAAGATATATTGGCAGAAAACTTACCAACTATCATGAAAAATGAGAAGGTTTCCATCCAAAAGGCTCAACAAACTCCATATAGAATAGACCCCAAAAGAAATTTACCAAGAGATATCATAATCAAACTTTCGAAAACTAAAGACAAAGAATTTTGAGACAAGCTTGTGAAAAGTGAAATATCACTTACAAAGAGGCATCAATAAGTCTGAATACCAATTTCTTGTCAGAAACCATGCAGGCAAGGAGGCAACAGGATGACATCTACACAATCCTGAAAGAAAAGAATTGCCAACCAAGAATCATATATCCAGCAAAATTGTCTTTCAAAAGTGAGGGAGAAACTGGGACACTCCCAGATAAGCAGAAATTAAAGGAATCCTTAATTAAATTTAGGGAATCCTTTGGACAGAGAACCAGTGACATCAGAAAGCAACCTCAGATAAAGACACATGACAGCATCACCCAGACACCAACCCAGATAAAGACTTCATGAAAGTAAAATAAAGCTGCAAAA